ATCATCTTGACTCCCTCAAGCACACCAAGCTGTACGAGCTGCTTTGCACCGCTGGGGATTACCTCCTCCGCGTGCTGGAAGATAAACCGCACGGTGCCGCGAATCTTGTCCTTCACTTGGCAAAGGACCTTTACGGCCCCGAGAAGCATTGCTGTATGCGCATCGTGGCCGCAAGCATGCATCACGCCAGGCCGCTTTGAGCTGAACGGCTCGCCACTTTCCTCCTGCAATGGAAGCGCGTCCATGTCGGCACGCAGCGCGTACATGGGCCCCTCCCCGGCCCCGCCACGTAGGTCGGCGACGACGCTGTTCGGCGTCGGCCGCCGTATGTCTAGAGGCGCCGGCATTGCCTGGAGGATGCTCGCCACGTAATCCGCGGTCGGCTGCTCCTCGTAGGCCAGGTAGGGGTTCTCGTGGATGTGGCGGCGCCACTGCACAACTTCAGGCTGCACAGCCGAAATTAGGTTCTGAATGCGGGCCATACCTTAACAAAGAGACTGGAGACAAGTGAATAGACGTAAGGTAGAAAAACAAAAACCAAAAACTACAACTCATGTGAGAGACACCTGAGACATATCGATTGATTTACGAGGGCCCAGCTGAAAAGCCGCTGACCCACACAATGTGTAACTCGGCACAGGCAAAACATAGTTTTGCAGGCGTACCGACCGCCGAGTGTCATGAGCCCCGCCGAGCATTCCGCGCGATATGCACCTCAAGCTTTCGACGGTCACCGTACGTGGGAACAAGATATTCCAAGGCCGTCATGGTCGAGCCGTCTTCGAGCCCAAGCGTTTGGTCCTCATTCGTCAGCGAATAGAAGCTGTCGAGGTTGAGCTGCACGTCGTACTGCCAAAAGTATTTCTTTAGACGTCGATAGTATTTTTCCGGTGAATGCAACAAATTTAAGGTCCGTAATATCTCCAAGACGGCACTCTCCACGTCTGTTTTTTCCCATGCGGTTTCTCCGGCGACCTCGTTATGGTAATACCGGTTCCCACCATCGTCACACACCGGCTTGCAGTCATCATGCAGGGCGCGCGCCGTTTCCTGTGCCGCGACGACGTGGCCGTCAAGGTGCGCGGCCGCCGGGGGGGGTCCCCGTGTCCGCGTCGGCCGGCCGCGAACTCTCCCCTGCCCCCACCGATGCCGCAGGCTGTTGCCGCCCACGGCTTTGGGGCGTAGAGGAAGCGCCTGGGGGAAAAGCCGCCCGCATCCCCTCCGCAAAGAACTGCGCCCCGCGAAAATACATCTCGAAAACGCGGCCGTAGTAACTATTTTCCGTTGACTGCACCTGTTCCCCAATGGAGGCTAGCAGTTCGCCAACCTCCGGCGACGCCGTCGCGGCGTAACGCTCGAAACCGAACAGCCCCGAGGCAACGCTTCCGTTGAACCTTCCCGTGGCACCTGGCGTATTCGGCAGTGCCCCAAGAGGGACAAAGGCATCCATGCAAAAAGAACTCTGAAAACGATACGAACCTGATGTAACATCCACGACGCCCACGTGGGCGCTTTGCCAAACGCCATGGCTCCCGTGTAACGAGGAATAGCCGGGGCACTTCGCGTTTAGGGCTTTGGCACGGTGCTGGATCAGCACGGCGAGCCCCATCTTACTCTCCGCGTGGACCGGGTCGCATTCCCAGGTGTACGCTGAAACCGTACACTTCTTTCCGTAATAGAGCTCCGCATACTCGGCAAAAACACGATTTGCGGCTGACTCCACTTGCCGAAGCACGCCTGAAATCCCAGAGGGGACATTAACAAACCTATCGCCAGACACGTATTGATTGCAGAGAGGGCAACGGTAGCACTCGCCAATTCTGTTGTACTCGAACGCGATAAAATAATGGGGAACTGTCGACGTCAATTGCGTCGCCGCGGACGGACACCGCAGGAGCGGCCACGGGGTATCCACCGGGCCCACTTTTCTGTAGATCAAGTCCACAACGGCCTCTGCGTTTTTCCGCCCACAGAGCATCAGAACACCATCGAGGATCACGCTAACTTTCCGTGGGGGATATCGGGCAAGTAGCAAAGCCGCTGCGGCTGCCACTTCCTCACTCCTACGGGTGGACTCCCACATATTCCAACCTTGAAACCACAGGAAGAGCATTGGAAAGAAGTTGAAAGAACTCAAACCGGATGGCAGTTAGAGGGTCTAAGCTCTCTCCCTATAGATGCGGAAAGAAACCTACCCTTGCCTTCCTTCCCAGACGCAACTTTGTTCCATTATTTATCACGCCCCTTTGTGATGACGCCTTAGCCGGTTTCTCTTCTTGAGGGCCCTTCGTGACACAGACGCCTCCTGTTCGCGCTGTGCATCCCTTTCCCACCGTTCGAGGTCTTCTGCGGTGCCCGGAGTTTTTCTGTTTCGCCTGTACCACTCACGCACCAACGAAGCCATTGTATCCGTGTGGTCTTCTGGGCGACGACCAAAACGCAACGTCGGCCCTTCAGGCACCTCAAGGGTACCATGACGGTACATCTCTCGCCATTTTTCCAAGTAGTCGTACTTGGAGCGTCGGGTCACACCCTTCCCTTTGATGTCCAAAGCGTTTTCCTCCTTTCTCTGAATGGCCTTCACGGCGGCGCTCATCTTCCCCATAGCCTCCTCCGACAACTCCGAGAAAAACGTATTGTCGTTTTCAAGCGCTATTTCCTCGTCGGACTTGTAGGGCGACAGCTTGTCACGGGACTCTCCTTGCCAGACCAGTTCTCCAGAGAGAGGAACAGCCGGTGCCGTCTCCGAGCTTGGCTTTAGCGCCCCGGTATCAAAGCGATGGTCCGGGTATTGGCGGTAGTCCGAGAGCTCCCCTGGCGTCTGTGCACCACTCCTCTCGATGTCTAACTGGACGTCCGCGGTCCGCGCCGCGTTCCCTAGGGCGGAGAGCTGTGGCACTGGCTGTGACCCGTCGAGGATTTTTTGGTATTCCTGCTTGACAACCTGCCGTTCCCGCCAGAGTCGTATACCCCACCCTTGCGGGCCGCCGCCATCCTTGGGGTAGGAAAACTCCCCACCGTCCATTGCCCACAGGCTTCCGGCCATTTCCCCCTCTTCTGAGCGAATCCGAGGCAGCAGCTTTTGCCGGTCAAGACGCGGGAGGTGAGACTTGGTCGGAAATGCAGAAGTGATGCCAAGCTGCCTCAGGGCCTCATTTTTCTCCTCAAAATTTTCGCCTTTGGGTGTGCCATCCGCGTTCTCTTCGGAGAACAACTCGTGCTTGCTCGCTGTTTCTCTTTTCCAGTTTTCCCACCAGGCAAGTGTGGAGGACGCCGAAATTGGCAAAGGGGTAAGCACAGGATTACCCTCGGCGTCAACATCCGTCTTCGACGCTGCTGCTGCTGCCGCCGCCCCCGCCGCCGCCGTCATCGGTGGCTCTTCCTTGAAGCCAAAGTCGTGCTCCTTCCGTGCAAGATATTCTTCTCGCGCCTGCATGATGCGCCGCGCACGTCGCTTCATATCACGTTTGTAGCCAGCGGCGTTGTTTACGCGAACAATTTTCTTCAGAAAAGACGGTCTGATTTGAATGCCAGCGCGCTCCATAGCCTCCAAGTACCGAAGGGCCCTCGCCGTTCCTCCTTCCTCGCCCGATGACAGGTGCATAAAAATGAGGCAGTCATACGTCCTTCTAGACGGGGTCAAATCCTCCTTTAGCACCATTTCTTGAAAAAGTTTTTCTGCCTCGTCGATACGCTGTTGGTGCGCCAAGAGGGCAATGTAGCATTCATAGCTGTAAACGTCCTTTTTGAGGTGCCACTCCTCAAATGTTTGGTTCCATATCTTGTTCGACTGCTCTTCAAACCGCCCAATGGTCGTTGTTTGCCCTGGCGTGTGCTCCATCGCCAATATTGTCGCCTGACAGCACAAGCGAAGAAGGGCATTGATAAATGGCAGCTGCATCGTCCAGCCACGTCGGACAACCAAGTCGTAAATGCCAAAACATGTTTCAAGGTGGTCAAGCCAGAGAGGAAGCGGATCTTCTGCCTTCTCCCGCATTGCGGCATAGTCGACGCGAATGATACTTTGTGCATGTGCCTGAATGGCCCACGACAAATGTGTAATGCCCGCCACGACTCCGTCGTCTCTCATTTTGCTCAGGTACTTCTCCACGGCCACAATGTCCCCTACCACTTGAGCCGATCGAATGAGGTTGAGGTACGTGGTGGCGTTCCACACAATACCCATAAGTTCCATTTTATGCGCCAGTTCTTCGCAACGAAGCCGCATTTCTGGTTTGGGGCTCTGGCTCAAATGGTACATCATGACATCGTAATGCGGCCGTGACGCAATAAAACCATACACATTCTCCATTTGATCAAAGAGCTGAATTGATTCTGCAAGCGAGTTAAGCTGGGAGGAGTCCTTGGCAAGAGCCTTTAGCTGAATAGCAAAGGTCACTTCGTTTGGTTCGATATTGGCGTACATTTTCATGTTATCCACAATTTGACTCACGGCGGGGTAGTCCTTCGCCTTGTGAAAAGCCCGCATGAGTTCGTGCCAATTGCCAATGCGTGGTGTTATCCCTTTCGCCTTCATTTCCTCTATGAGGGCCATTGACGCATTCACGTCGCCGCTTCGAGAGGAGTGCCTCATTAGCGCTTTATATAACTCTGCAGAAGGACCTAATCCAACGGTGCATGCAAAATCAAAAACCGCCCGACTCATTGACGCGTATTGTTGCTGTGAAAGGGCAGTTATGACGATGATCAACCCCTCCTCCGTGTACTCCAGACCAAAGTCTTCTAATATGCACGCAAGCTCCTTGCTGGCGTTACTCACCTCGGACTTATCGTCGATGTACGCCACAGGGACATTGACGCTTGCTGCAAGCTCCGCTGCTGTCATCGCGTCATGCGAAGTCGGTCCTGTGTCGCTGGAGGTTGCGAGCTCCGACACGGCCTGCTCCAAGTGCTCGTAGCTGGAGGAGGACGGCAGAAGTCCTGCCAACTCATGATTCAGCGCAACGGCAATTGGGGGATACACTTTTGAATATTTTCCCGAATGCGGCTGCGCAGATGGCGGGGACTGTAATAACCTATTGCCGAACTCTAGCAAGGCCTGCATGCCCGAAGAGTTGCGTGCCACGGCGCCCACGATATCTTCCTGCTCTTCGTCAGCTGGAAACTGCCAGGCGTACGCCCAGCGCTCAATGGTGTCATCCCATTTCCCCTGCACTGGGGGGCGATAGTCGGGCGGCAGTGTGCCTTTTCGGTACATATCCAACTCCATTTCCTTGGCGCTAGGCCCGAAGGCCACCGCACCCCTAAGCGCAACATGCTTCAATGCCTGGGCGTACGGCGAGAGTGCCTTGGGAAGACGCTTTGCCGTGGCCAACATCACAACCACTACATGAGCAAGACGAGGGCGAGAAAGCAACGTGAGCAAGAAGCGTGATGTGCCACGAACGGGATCAAGTACCATCAATGGGAGGATGTCCCTGCATCACTCAGCATTCGTTTTTTTTTGCTTAAAAAAAACAGCGAGTCGAGAAGCGGAAACAGCAGCAACAGCGACAACAACAACAACACACGCACAAACAAACGACAGGAAGTCACCGGCAAAACGGGGTCTTCCCCTCCTCTCCTCTTCTGTTGCCTTGGTTGTCCGCCACCCTGCAGCTGCCCCCGCTACCAAAGTCACGGATGTGTTCAGCGCGGCAGCAATAGGACTAGGCCGGAAAGACCAGCCTCTTGTGAGAACGAGCCCTCCAAATCCATTCCCCGTGGTGTCCTTCCCGTCCCCGCTCTTAATCCTTCTTCTTTTCATGTGATTCCGCCGCGATGGGCGCGGATTCCGAGCTCTTCGCCTCCTCCGCCGGTTCACTGCTAAAAACCTCTTTAAATAGCCAGTTTGTCGAAAATGCCAAGCCGGCCCCAAGGAAGCCAAACGCCCATACGTGAACGTTATCCGGCATGGCGAAGACCAACGACAGCCAGCACAGAAAGAGTGCAGCCATTACAACGTTAAACGTGATCCACACCGCTGGAGAGAGGGCAGACCCTGGCGTGAGAACATGGTTAATCAATCGAGCCAGCCACGGCAGCTCCGACACCTCCGACACCTCTGACATATCCCTTCCTTACCAGCCCCAAGAGGAAAAAAAAAAAAAAAGAAAAAAAAAAGGTTAGAGCGTGCCAAAACACCGGAAAAGAGAAGAGGAAGAGAGACAATCGAGCGAAATAGATAGGCACACGTGGCAAAAACTCATCGGTTTTGTGTGCCCCCACGGACCACAAGGGAAGAGCCTTGGGGCAAGCAGCTTGCCCACCCGCGCGGCAAATGTGCTACCCCACAGCCAATTGAATCCTGTCATGCCACGGGGAACTCAGCTCCACGCAGTGTGGCGAAAGCCATCGTAGCCGACATTTGGCCATCATCAACAAGGGATCAGGGCCTCCAGGGTGTTCTTCCTTATTTACTTTCGGAATTTCGACGGTGAACTTCAAGCGAAACTCAGGCAGTTGACCTGCAAAAATCACACCCAGCAAACCGACAGGGCGAGTCGCGTGCCATATTTTAATACTTTCCATCTTTTCACTCAAAACCGCAATGTCGTGGGTGGTGGTGTTGCTACTGTAGGCAACGCATAATATTTTCTCAGGGTGAGAAACAAATGAGGCGACAATGCCTGTTGTCTTCATATTAATAACTCGTACGACACCGTCACTGCTGCCAACCGCCAAATATTGCAGGTGCTGCTGAAAGGAAACATTCGGCAAGTATTCTACGGCGCGTCGAATTACTTGCGTGACAGGCATCAGGCATGACTCTCGCTCCTCCTTGTTTGGGTTGTGGGGGTCGAGAGCTCGAAGAAGAAATTCCGTCACGATTGGGAAGGCGTCATACGACTGAAGCGGCGCGAACTCAATGAGGGCGCCAAAAAAGGCGATGATGCGGGGCCTCCACGACCGCTTTTGATTGTACCACTGCTTAACACGGTGCTCAATAAAGCCATTTCCCTCAATACTGGCGATGCTCATGAGGGTTTTAATGGCCAAGACGCCATTCTTGTTCTGCCCCTCAAACGCCAACGTGGCAATCGCATCCACAACCGCTTTAGAATCGCTCAGTACGGTCCCTACCAAATCGTGATAATAGTCTTTGAGAGTCTGAAGCAGCAACGGTACGCAAATTTCGTCTTCTTGCGTGGTCAACACCTGCGTCAAAAGTGGCACGTCGGACTCAAGCTTCTCTAAAATAGATCTCCAAACGATTCCATCGGTAGACGGCATGTTGCCCAGAAAGACCATTCTAACAAAGAATCCATAGCACCACAGCTCCGTCTCACCAAGGTTAGTTGAAACACCAAACCAATGACGAACTGATACACATTCTAAAGACATAATAAGCATTTTGTTTAGAAAACCTTCCAAATGTGGGGACGCCATTTCTTCCGCAGCCACCTTGATGCATACACGGATGTCGTTTTTGGCTGCATCAGACACCTGTAGAAGAAGCGGGATGGCCTGAAGAATGACCTTTTCAGGTGCTGGTGACGCCTCAATCCGCCCTGAACTCACAAGAGACTCACTCAGTGCCTGGACTTCTGACGCGGATATCGCACGATTAACTCCTGTAGAAGGTTTCAGCGCTCGTGCAAGAAGAACGACCGAGAGAAGATAGCCTGCAGACTGCTCTGCACAGACGGCAGAGATGGAAAAATTACTCCCATTGAATCCTGCTTCAGGCAAAGTAAGCGGTCCCTGAAGGTTAGAATCCACACCTTTTGAGCTAGGAAACAAAATGGACAACGCCAATCGGCATGCAGGAGTTATATCGCCTGCTTCGCGTTGAGTCAATATATCTATTAGAGGAAGAACATTCACTCTTAATGAAAAGTGAATTCTACCACAAATGGTAATTCGGTCAATTATGACGGGGCCAACTTCCGCGAAGGAAGCCAACAAATCGCGTCGTCCTGGAACTGCAGAGACGGCTGAAACGTTATGAAAGACCCGCTCCAAACGACATGTGGGTAAGTGCCAGAGATTCCCAACATTTCCAGAAACTGCAAACGCATACTCGGTTTGTGGATCCCATACAAGCTTGGTAAGAGGCACAGATGGGGACTGCAAAAGACGAGTGCCCTCAAAAGTTTCGGAGTTATGAATTAACACGGTTCCGCGTTCCGTGCACACTGAGACAAAGTCAGCTTCTAAATACCCCTCTTCTTGAGGCAATAGAACAATCTTATCCACACGACCTGTGTGCGCCATGGGAATAACACATTTCAATGTTCCGGAGAGCCACACATGTACGCTACCGTGCTCATACCCCGTTACAAAAATGATATCGTGCCGTTTATAAAGTAAACAACAAGTGACTTTATCCGCTTTTTCTTCATGGGCCAAAAATATAGATTTGACCCGGGAACCAGATGGAACAAAGGCCAAACATTCACCCGATTGTTTCACATTTATCACAGCAATATTCTCTTCAAATGGTATAATGTCAATTAAAAAAACATCAGGTTTCTCCAATTTATTTTCATACAGTTGCAAGAACCTTCTATGGTTGTTACCATCAGCGACGGCAACTGTTCCTGGTATACCACTACACAAAGACTCCATACTTGTCAAGGCCAAAATCAGGAAATATCTAGGCATTGCACATAAAAGGGCACTGCAACAAGATACCAGTTCAATAGGTCTACCTGATACAACTTTAATCCCATCCCAGCCTTCTCCATTCAAGCAGAAAGAAAAAGGAAGGGCCATGCCATCTGCGCGTATCACCACAAACAAGTCATCCACCCAAAAACCAGACACATATGGAACGCTCATTTCATTCTCAAATACGGCCGCGTCAGCTAATGTGGTCCCTTGCCAAAGCGAAAACTGAACCACATCATGCCACAATGAAGCCAGAACAAAGGATGTTCCATATTTTTTTACATATGACCGGGCCCTTGAGCTCCATGGACGGGATTCACACGTGGGGCACTTGGAATATTTTTCACGCCCGTCTTCAACTTCTTGTTGTGATGCGGAGACCACAAACACGTGTACCCTTCCGCGTAACGGAAAGGTTGCCACAACGTCCACAGTATCCGATTTCGCCCCAAGCATAGGTGTAAGAGAAGATGGAAGACCCAGTTCGGAGAAAATTCCATGACTCGAGAGACCCAAGAGAACGTTAGAACGAAAGTTTACTACCCCACACAAGCCTTCCCTTGTCAAAACAACCATCAGCGACGAGTCAGGTACTATACCACAACACAAAACTCCACTCAATTTCCTGTAACAACTAAAGTGGCCCATAAAAGCGGATTTTTGCGTGTCAAATTGAACACATCCAACACAACAACTGAACGACACCAATACTACCCCATCAAGGGAAGAAAAAGAGGCATGAACCAATTCACCACCGCAGCTAATGTGCAAGTTTTTTACTGAAAGCGGGATTGGTAACGAAGGACGTGAAGCATTGAAGTCACTCACGGCACCGTTAGTTTCTAACAAACAAAACATCGACGAGTCAAACTCATACTGTCGAAACAACAGGGTTCCATGTAAACGGTATCTGTCTTCAACCTCAAAGCTACAGAGGACGGCCTGGGTCTCATCACTTACTACAAACCAATCACCTAAAGGTGAAACCGTTACTGTGGAAAAAGCCCCTTGCTGTGAAGAGCCGCCACCCTCCCTGGTGACGGTTACATGAGACGCCATATCATAATTGGCAAGAGGAAGAGTCAAGTTCATCCCATACGCTAAATTGCCTTCAACGCATAAAGATGAATAAAGAAAGTGTAAAAGAAAGCAGGAAAAAAAAGCAACAAAAATGAGAAAAAGACAAAAAAAAAACGACGCGCGCACACACACAAACTTCGACATCATCGCTTTATAAAGTAAGAGAGCGGGGGCTAATTCACGTAAGACGTATTTCAATGCAAACCCAAGCAGCATAACCTCGCTATATACACAGATTCCTTTGCTTTCTCCACTTCAATGGGCTCTCTTCTTTCCGGAAAGAGCCTTTTCCATGTCCGTTAGACGCTGTAAGAGCAATTGTAATTTGCTACTGGCATCTTTTAGGGTTGAAACAGATTGCTCAAAGGCAGCTTCAGCAACCACTGAACAATTCCGACAGGAAGGAAAACGCAAGCCATCACTTGGGTTATGACACCCCAAACAACTAATGCTTAGGAAGCCTGAAAGCGAGTCAATCATGTTATCAACCTTCAGCGGAATGACATTTTTATTGGTAAGAAGAGATTTCCCAGAATCGGCAGGGCACATAGATCGGAAAACAGAGTAGTCTAACTTACTTGTGCCATTTGTAGGCGACGAATCTGGGGAGGCAGTCACCAAGAGCAATAATAATGGGTATGCGGAAACGCCACTTTCGCGTCTGGAGTCAACCTCATTGTTTTCCCCAAGCAGCAGTCTAGTGTCTTCAAAGGAAAGCTTGTGTGGTGCACACTTTCGAGCGGATACATAACCCAAAAAGACAGCACCCGGAGGGGGCGGCACTTCCAAGGGCACTATTGTTGTTACAGCTATCTGCAGCAACGTCGAATTTTCTGTAGTGTCAGTGTCGCTTTCACCAAGTTCATAATGGCCAAATAAGGCATAGTTTCGCTTTGTAGCGGCACGCAAGCTCAGCACAGAGGATACAATGTGGGAAAACGTTGCCCCTGATATATGAACCTCGTACCTTCCTTGCATGACTACTTCCAGAGAGAGAGAGAGAGAAGGCATAAAAAAAAAAAGCACGGACACCCCTAATCGCCCGACACATGAATAGAGGCAAGTCAAAAGCATAACTACTCCCTAGGAGAGGTACACAAAGGAGCTTGTATATAAAAGACTTCCGTAATACAAACCCCACATGGCCCTTGCCCTAAAAAAAAAACAAATTAATTGTGAAGCCATCCAAAACTGTTATTTGCACATCCCTGAAGAGCTCCTTACAAAAAAAATGACACGCTAAATAAGCTGGCTACAATCTTCACCTGAGTGGTTTCTGGACCTCCACTGGAAAAGAGCGGCCACCAGAATAACTACTCCAACTATTCCTGTAACAATAATAATAATAAAACCTTTCGACAGAAAGGTGCCAGTTCCGGAAGGGTGATACCCCGGACAGACGGTCATGGATGCAAGACGAAACATGTACTTCATATTCTCCGTTTCGTTGGCAGACAAAACACGCAAGCTATCCAAGTTTTTATCACAGTCCACATAAACATTCGCCAGCAGTTTTTGGTCGGATCGAAGTGTAAAGAAAAGTGTTTCGTTTTTAAGGCTCAGGTTCCCTGAAGAAACAAAAAGGCCCCCGCAACCTTTGTCGTACATAATCATGTACCCAGAGCCACACTGCTCACCCGAAGCAGAAAAAATTTTTGGTTTACAAAAGCTCACCCCTAGAATAAGCTCCCTATCACTAAGCGTCATCGAAACATTTCCATAATTGGAAAGATATTCCAAGGACATATATTCACCTGTACTGGTGGTATTAACACGACATTCTTCAGCGTACACCTGGTGAGCCCTAAACAAAATTAGTATAAAAACATAAAAGAAGTTCGCCTTCATACTACCTACTTGAACATAGCTACAACAGAAGCAACAGGGGGGAAAAAAAAGAACAACATGTAATATTATTGAAAATAATAACAATTATACTAACAGTAATTCACAACATCCCAAGTCTTCAAACAACAACATTAACATTGTTTCAAAAAACGGAGTGAGGAATGGGAAAAAAAAACCGCAACTCCCTTTACGAGCCACCACATGACCCATTCCACGCTCCCGCGCGCCGGCGGCCGCTGCCACGTGCCACGGCTAATTCAAAAGGCGGCGACGCCCCACGGAAGAGAAAAAGCCGTCGCACGCCGCCCGGCCGCGCCGCGCGTCGTGACCCAAACCGCGCGGTGCGGGCTACTTTCGCGAGGGGGCGCGAAGCACGGGGGCGCGGCCCCGCTGCCTTTGCATTGGGGGGCCCTGCCCTCTCGCGCGGCGCTTCGCGCCTCGCGTGCTGCGTGCGTCTTGCGGCCTCGGGCGTCGGGCGTGTGGGGCTTCATCGGGGCCCCCTGCGGCGTGGCGCGAGCGGGCCGGCGCGGGTGGGGCGGGTGAAGTGCGCGCCGCGCGGGACATCCAGC